CAACAGGTTGCTTCAACAGGTTGCTTCAACAGGTTGCTTCAACAGGTTGACTCGACTGCACAGTGCAGTGTGAATGCAAACGCACCAGCTCAAATGTAACAAAATGTCATGAATATTGGTCCAGAACTGAACCCAGTCTACCGGACTATCTAGTGTGAAAACGACTTTAATTTATGGCAAGCATCAACTTTTGCAGCTCAGAATCAGAGTGCTTTTATTATCCCTGCACAGTGAAGTACAACAAAATTACTTCCCCTAGAGCCATCCTAAAGATGAACAGAAGTGTACAGGGGCTGCACATACAAAGATGCTTAGATTAAAAAAAGGTAAGAAAACGTAAGGAGAGAAGTATAAAAAAAGATCTCTCACACCATGTCCTAAACAGGGCACGGTTTGAGGCATCAAAAATACAGACATAAATAGACATAATACATATGTGTGCGGTGTGGGGAAGGGGTGGGGGTCCTAGCACGGCCACCAGGTGAGCAACACAGCCCTTGGCACCTTCGCATCTCCTAGGTTGTTGCGTAAGGGGAGGCATTGAGTTTGAGGGAAGGTCATACCAGAGCACAGTCCAGAGCCCCCTGTAGCCATAGTCCTGGTAAGAGGTGTTTGTTTATCAGCCAGCTCGTTTGAGCTCTATCACAGGTCCACGACCTTGGGAAGGTATGCAACAAAATAAAAGGGAGCTTTGAAAAAGGTTCACAAGACAAAGAGCAAACCAGGGACTGGCAAGCAATGGAGCAGAGGAGGACGCATCTGCCTTCCACCGAGAGCAAGCAAGAAAAAAACCTTAGCATTCCCACGCCCAAAGACCCCTGGACATTTAGGAGGAAGAGTTTTTATTTTCTGCTCTACTAAATCGTGTTCAGATCAAAGTTCATTAAACCAAAATAGACGTACAGATTTTTAACTCCATCAATTTATTTATAAACTTACAAATGGAATAAAACATGTTTTAACAAGAAACATTTTCAGAATGTTCAATTAAGAACGTGTCCAAACATTTTGTCCTGCTATTGTTTCATAAACTGGATGTCCAACAACAGGTCCATCCCAGAACCTAAAACTGGATGGGTGTGACCCGAACACGGAAAGAAACAGCAGAAACGGTTTCACTTCAGTAAAACAGTTACCGAACTTCAGCTGTGAAGTCATGAACAGTTACAGAACTTAGTCTAGTCTAATCGATTCAAATCCGATTGGTAAACTCGTTCATCTCTCCAGTCGGCTCCACTCAGCCGGAGGATCTCTGGGTCCTCTGGGCTTCTGAACGCGACAGTTGAACCCTGGAAGACAAACACACCGAGACCACATCATTTTCAACTCTCAACCATGCTATGCTTCTTTAAATCCAGTTCTTTGAGTCTGGTTCTTTGAGTCTGATTCTTTGAGTCTGATTCTTTTAGTCTGGTTGTTTGAGTCTGATTCTTTGAGTCTGGTTCTTTGAGTCTGATTCTTTTAGTCTGGTTCTTTGAGTCTGGTTCTTTGAGTCTAATTCTTTTAATCTGGTTATTTGAGTCCAGTTCTTTGAGTCTGATTCTTTTAGTCCAGTTCTTTGAGTGT